TATGGTAAGTGATTGGGTCTATTTGTTTAATGTCAAACATTGGTGTTTGACTCATTACACAATTACAGTGCTGTACAAGTAGGCATTGTTTTCTTTACTCAACCATGCTACACATTACTCTAAATTGTTCAATACAAATACATACAATTTGCATCAATTATAGGACATGTATGTTTTTTGTGTTTCTGGTCAAGAAGTTTTCTGTAATGTTAAGTTGTTACGTCCAAGGAATGAGCCTCTATGACTTACCTTAATCACATATGTAGCACACAGTGGCATTAAGGTTCTAAAAATGTTAGCCAGCCCTTTATTGGTAACGATTTACATGAAAGAAAAGTCTGTAAAACCAATGTACATGCAGCAGTATCTTCAAAACCTGGATGCATTTTTACAGTTGGTGACATTGTCATGTGTTGAACCAGTAACTGGGTGAGTGAACCCAGTGCCATCTAGTCCTGATGTCCATTACATTTCCCTTATCATAATTACTTTTCTTTTCAGTATCATCATATCTTATAACTGTCTTCACGTATGAAGATGCTGAATCAGGTACTGATGCTGATATCTACATTAATATTATTGGTAGTCTTGGTGACACTGGTAAAAGGTGGCTATGTAAGCCAATCAGTGGTGGTGAAAAATTTGATCAACCAGGAAAGGTGAGTTTCATAATAATTGGAGATGTGAGGTAGATACAGATACTCAATTCACAATAAAACTTGTTTCTGATTGAACAGCCCACCCCTCTCACAAAAAAAAAAAAAAAAATTGGTTCCCTCATCATTGAGAAAACACCATTTCAGCAAGCACACAAAACAAGTTCCAGGTAATGCCTGGTGAGGTAATGCCTGTTGAGCTATTAATATTAATATCTTTGGAACAAGACCATTTACAATTGCTGGATACTTTTAAAATTATTTTTTGTCTTTGTCTTTTGCTGCAAAATTTGGATAAGTAATTCAATTTGCTATTTAAACAATATTTCTAACCTTACGCTCTTACTGGAACAATTAAACTCAAAATTTTTTAAAACTACTTCAGGTGAGGTCTAAACCACTAATGCATACAATAACTAGCCAGATATCCTCTATTAGTTTCAAGTGTAAAACAAATAATCAAATATTGAATTGAACAAAAACAAATGCAGAAGCTTACAAACTGGGTTTAAATCTGACATTTAGTATTGAATGATAATGAAAATTGGCTCACTGTTATGAAAAATCTAAGACGAAAACAATTACATTTAACAAGTTTCAGAAAATTTT